TTGACCAGATATCAGTAATAACAATATTACCTGCTCAATAAGCATCAGTTATGTGTCAGATCCCATCAGAATAACTATCACCACCCTTTATGGTATTGATAGTATTATCATCAGATGATGGGATATTGAAAGTTCATAACAGAATAGGCCTAAGGCCCACCCCAGCCACCACCTAAGGGAGCAACTCCTGGCAACTCCCCTCAAAGGTCACTTCTGTCCTCAAACAACCTGGCTCAGGTGAGGTCCACCTTCAGCACCACCTTTGCACCAGACTGGTTTCAGGCCCTGGGGCTGGAGATATCACTGACACCTCATCCTCTGAGCCTTCCTGTTCTCTCTGTAAAAGTATGTCAAACTCGCAGCCCGTGGGCCGCATGCCGCATTTATTTGGCCCATGTTAGCCTTTGAGTTTGACATGCTTGCTCTACAAGCATCCCTTTCCCTGGCATGCATGGGCCTTTCATAGCCCCACAGTTCAAAGAAAAACCTGAAAGTATCCCAGCTCTTACAGGAAACAAATTCCAGGTGTTATCTCATAGGATATATAGGGTCTCTGGTCAAGGTAGGAGTTGATATCTCAGAAAAGGATTCTTGTTCATTCTCATTACTTTCCCACCAAGAGAGGCCTTGCCACAGGGGAAAGTTTTTTCTTTTTTAGATTTCAAGTTTGAACTCTTAAGCATTCTGGTAATGAATGGACTTCTTGTGTCTTTATTTCTTAGTGTCCTTTCTCAGTCTTAACATGGTGGGGAAAGAATTCAGATGCAGAAACACACATGCAGAGATATATACATATAGACATAGATACATAGACACATGGATGGATATATGTACACAAAGATACATACATACACAGGTAAATATACACATGGATACATATACATGGACATACATCCATATCTACACATAATCTGCGCTTAGGAAGCCTGCTTAGGTTAAAATATAGATAAATAAGTTTTGTCTTTGGAATTAAAAAGATAGGGAGAATCTCCCAAATGTGGGAAATACGGTATTTTCCATAAGTCTTATGTGAATATGAATAAGTTTCTCAAACTAGGTATTGAGGAATATTCCTGAGGCTCCTTTTAATTCTCAAGGACCATGAGACCCAGTCGAGGACAAGCGCACGTTATAATTTTAGAAAATTTCTCAGCTTGCTTTTATAAACGGGATCCACTGAACCTGTTTGTTTAATAGTAATGTAATAAAAGCTTTCTTAGCTGTGAAAAGACCAACCTGTACAAATACAGGATATTGAGGTTACTGTTGCAATAATTATTCTGTTCCATAAACTTTATTGAGCATTTGTGGAATCCCTGTAACACCCATTTCCCCAAGTGGCCACGAGCACTCAAACCACATGCTTCTAACTACAGTTTTGCCACTTGATAACCCATGATCTTGAACTTCTCAATTAGCTTTCAGGTGATTAGATCGCTTACACAAGAATCAACCAAGGAGTGCATAAATGTCAGGTGGAACAACATGTTTCTCTCCCCCCCCCCCTCCACCCCCCACTCCATCCCTTTCTCTCTAAAATCAATAAATAACAATTTTTTATTTTTTTAAATATTTTTATTGATTTCAGAGAGGAAGGGAGAGGGAGAGCGAGATAGAAACATCAATGATGAGAAGAATCATTGATCAACTGCCTCCTGCACACCCCCTACTGGGGATCAAGCCCGCAACCCAGGCATATGCCCCTGACCAGAATCGAACCCAGGACCCTTCAGTCCACAGGCTGACCCCTCTAACCACTGAGCAAAACCGGCTAGGGCAACAATTTTTTAAATAAGGAGAATATGCTAGAGATTCATCTGATACAATTCCAAAATATTAAGAACCGTAGTCATGAGGGCAGAATTGACAGATATTATCTGAATCCTTATTCATGGCAGACACTATGTGTACAGCTCTTCATTTTTTAAAAAATATATTTTATTGATTTTTTACAGAGAGGAAGGGAGAGGGATAGAGAATTAGAAATATCGATGAGAGAGAAACATCGATCAGCTGCCTCCTGCACTCCCCCTACTGGGGATGTGCCTGCAACCAAGGTACATGCCCTTGACCAGAATCGAACCTGGGACCCTTCAGTCCGCAGGCCGACGCCCTATCCACTGAGCCAAACCGGTTAGGGCAGCTCTTCATTTTTTATCTCATGTGCTCCTCACACCGTGCCACAGATGCTCTGCTAACCCTGCTTTCCAGATTGAAAAAGCGAGGCCAACAAAGAGTGCAGGTAGGTGGCAGAGCAGAGTTGGACCTTGCTCTCACTGTCCCCTGGCAATGTGGCATGGAGCCCTTAACAACCGTGTTACTGGACGGCATTTCTAAGTGACAAAACTCAAACACATAATTTGGAGTGTGGGGGTGCGGGGGGGGGAGATGGTGGAAGGAAATCATTTGTAGGCTTATGAATTCTAACATGTGCCCCCTCCCAAGAGTTGCAATCAACTTTTGTATTTACAACAGTTGAAGTCATTAAAATGATAGGCTCGGTGCTCATCATCCCAAGGGATCGCCAAACAACAGAACGCAAACTTCCTTTATTCCCCGGCCGGATCAGAGCTGACTCTGCTTTAGGAAATTGCTGCCAATGAGCTCCAGGTCGTCTATGAACCACCTAAAGTCACATGGATTTTTCTGGGATGAAAGTCCACAGCGGGGACCGTTTCTCAAAGGGCTCCAGGACCAGCATGCCAGACACAGCCTGGGAAGTGCCGGTCTCAGGTTCCCCTGCCGTGGACCTCTTTTCCTGGGCGTCTCTCCATCAGTCCCTGCCCTTCACAGCCATAGTTCTGCAGAACTCATTCCCAAAGTCAATTCATCCCCGCGTCCAGCTGCTCCTGTGGGCCCCGCAGCCGGCATGAGACGCTGCGAGTGTGTGCTTCGCCGCTTCTGGTAATGAGCTGTGCTTTTAAGCAGCCTGATGCAGCCAGGCCTCTCGTTCCCAAGCCGAACCCATTAGCATATACGACCCCATTTACTGATAAATGCATGTGATTTGTTTCCAGCGCGTCACTGTCTTTTGGCTGCTGCTTGTCTTGGGGCGCGTGTGATGAAGTTTTATGCAGTTGTGCTTTTGTTCTCTTAACTGGAGCCTTAAATTCTAAGGAAGAAAATTAGTGTTTGATTTAAAATCACTCATGGGTTGCCCTGACTGGTGTGGCTCAGTGGGTTGAGCATTGCCCCATGCACCGAAAGGTCTCCAGTTTGGTACCTGGTCAGGGCACACACCCAGGTTGTGGGTTTGATCCCCAGTTGGGTAGTTCCTCCTATAAAATATGGATAATATGGGTAACAACAGCACCCCAGAGGTTGGGCACTGCCTGGAGGCGACTGATTAACGTTTCTCTCTCTCTCCCTCTCCCTTCATCTCTATCTAAAATCAATAAAAACAGCCTGACCACTGTAGCTCAGTAGTTGAGCATCGACCTATGAACCAGGATGTCGTGGTTCAATTCCTGGGCAGGACAAATGCCCAGGTTTCAGGCTCTGTCCCCAGTGGGGTGCATGCAGGAGGCAGCCAATCCATGATTCTCTCTCATTGTTGATATTTCTCTCTCTCTCTCTCCCTATCCTTTCTTCTCTAAAATCAACAAAAATATATTTTTTAAAAATAAATAAAATAAAAATGTATTTTTAAAAATAATAAACTAAAATCACTCCTGGGTTTTCAATCCTTTGGTGCATCAAAGCGGGGAAAGAGGGGGGAATCTAATAGAGGAACCCGGGTAAAGACAACCAAGGCAGTTCTTATCTTGTCAGATGTAGGAAAGACCTAGTCACATTTTTTCCGAAGAGTAGGCCATTCCGTTGTCTTTCTCAGGTGCTGTGACCACGTCTAATGGACCAGAGGCCAGAGTCCCTTCGCTTGGCCGTGGACGGCCAATGGAAGGATCAGATTCAGGTATGCGAGTCCCAGCCCTGCAGTGTACTCATACGTGACCTTGGTTATGTTACTTAGTTTATATAAGTTTGCACCATCTCTCCTGTAAAATAGGGATAACAACAGTATTCAGTGCATCGGTGTGACAGCGTGCTTGACTGCAAGCAGGAAGAATCTACAGAGCACAGATGTGCACAGCTGGAGGGTCAGCGGGAGCACCCCCTCCCCCCTTGCTCTGACGAGGGGGCAGTCAGTCTGTCTACAGTGCTGCTGGCAGGAGCACACGGCCCACTGCCCTGTCTCTGCCCTCTTGTCTCTTGCTCACACTCAGATAATCTAACATGAGTGCCCCCCTGCTGACCTGCCTGCTGGAGGCAGGGAGAGGGAAGCTGGGAACCCCAGAGGTTGGGCACTGCCTGGAGCCCCCCACACAAGGGAGAGTCACATGATGCTATACACAAGGGCAACTCTCCGGCAAACGAGAAATAGCTATGACAATAGGAGGGTTGTGAAGAATAAACGACAGGACGCACAGAAAGCCTTTAGCAACCTACTAGAACGCAGCAGATGGCCAAGACATGGCAGCTATTATTATTGCTATAATTGGCAGTATTTTTTATAGGAATAATAAATTTATTATAAGAACCACAGAAGGTATAGTAGTGCACATAAAAAAGAGGGAACCTCTGGACCAGAGGGCTGGCTGATGCTTCACCAGGGAGCCCTCCCTCTCCAGAGTGGCTCTGAGGATACCAGGTCCAGAGGATGGCACCCTGACCCAAAAGTGAGCCCAGCTAGTACACATGGTGCCAGGGGCAGGGTTCCCCCAGAATTCTCTGCTCCCCGGGACCCCCAGTGCTGAGCAGGCCCCAGGGCTTGAAGGGAACATGCCGTGAGGTATGAGGTCCAGCTGGTAGTGGCGACTTGAAACTATCCACAGGCCAGACTTCCTTCCAAGACATACGGGTGCCCCTGGATGTGGGAGCCTCCCTACCTCAGGCCCCGTATGAACCCAACACTGAGCAGTGAATTCTGTGTGTCTTCGGGGTTTCCTACAGAAACGGGGGGGAGTGTTTTCTGGCACACACACACAAGGGCTGTAGCAGGGCCCTGACTTCTCCCTGGGAGACAGGGAGGACAGGGGCTCTGCAGGTGCCAAAGGGACAGCAGCTTGAGGAGCGCAGGCCCGGGGCGTGTCTGCCACTCCTACCACAGAGGACTCCAGAGCCCCTGTCCCGTCCGGTACCTGTCCCGTCCGGTTCAAGTGTGGGGAACGCTTGGTAGGTCCCCAAGGCAGAAGATAAAAGCAGGAAAGCTAACCTAAGCCCAGGCTCTCTAGGGAACCCACACCTAGAAGGGTCCGACACAAGGTGTGTGTCCTCTGTGGCCCCAACAAGGCTTCCAGCCGGCCCGTGGTCCATGGTGGGCTGGCAGCCCGAGATGCAGCCGTGGTGGTGGCTAGGCAGCTGAGAGGCAGGCCTGGTGGATGCTCTCCGCCCAGGTGTTGAGCAGGGCTGTAACTGAGTGCTTGTCGGGGAGCTTCAGCAGCCTCGAGTTCATGCATCGGTACACCGACTGCAGGAAGGGGCTGGCGTCGTACTGCCACTGCCGGTCGATCCACAGCGGGCTCTGGGCGGGGTAGTCAGCGGGCACACTGAGCTCCAGGGGTGGCACGCTCGGGAGATCCTTGTCATCCAGCTTGCATATTAGGTGGACGGTGCCGTTGTCATTGCAGTGAGAAGGGTCCAAGTTCACCAGGAACTTGGGGTCTAATCTGGCCACCTCCCTCTGGAGCACGTTGGGGATGCTCTGCTGCTCATCCTCTTCAAGCTTACGCTTCCGGGTGCACACCACCGGTGCCGTGATGGGTGGGCCATGGATGGCCCTCATGGCTGGCACGAATGTGTGGTGCAGGGAATGGTTGAAGACGGGCGAGCGGATGTTGGCCAGGACAGCATCCAGGAGCGGCTGGCACAAGGACTGCTGCTTGGTTGGTGGTCCCGGGGGTGGTGGGGGCGTGGGCACCGCCATGTCATTCTCGAGTTCCTCCAGGGCAATCTCACACTTCTGCAGAGTTTCCAGAGGGCACCTCTTGGAGGGGTCCGTCAGGATCTCCAGAAGGCTCTTCATCATACTCAGGTCCTTTTTTCTGTCTTCATTCTTGTCGATCTTGTTGATCATGCGGCGTAGGGGCTCGATGTACTTGGACAGCTGCTTCAGCTTGTCCAGGTACTGCTGCTCCTCGGCCTGACTGGAGCCCGCTGGGCTCATGACTGAGCTGGAGTTTACAGGGGTGTTTAAAGGTCCCGGGGAGGGGACGCTGAAGTTCTGCGGAGTGCGCGCTGTCACTGGACCCTGGGAGGGCTGTGGTGAGGGGCTCGGCAGGAAGCTACTGGGGGATGGGGCAGGGCCGGAGCTGCAGCAAAGGGAAAGGGAGCGTGTCTGTGAGCTGTGGGCACCAGCAGGGCCCTCCCTGTGAGCCAGGCAGGGAGGGGCACCCCGGCCAGGCCTACCTGACGTTGGAGTTGGGCTGTGAGCTGGGCTGGCCGGGCTGCGGGGACGGCTGTGGGGGAGGGGGCATCGACTGCGGGGTCTGCACCTGCTGGCCCTGCATGGTGAGGCTGTTCTGGCTGACCCTTGTCTTTCTCTGATGCCCTGCTTCTCAAATACTAATGTTGGGGTCCAGCCCGAGCAGGTCCAGGGGTTCCCAAAGGTGTGGATGGAGTCGGCAAAGAAGGAATGACACAGAGGCAACGTTCAGTTGATTATCATAGCTAGGTTCTCCAGCCAGGTTCTGTGTCTTGGCAGTATTTTTAGCAGCTACCGCTCTGGCCACCAGGGATGATACAGGCAGATGATAAAAATAGACTCATTTTCGATGAGTTCGTGATGAGGGATCCTGGGGAGAGGGCGGAAGGAAGGATAGGCAGTGAGCAGAGAGGCCAACGCCTCTGAGGAGGGACAGCTAAGGATGCAAGGCCACTGGGGAACTACCCTTGACATCCCTGTCAGCCTGGACGCAGGACCATCGCCAGCAGAACTGCTGCTGTGGCACCAGGGCCTCCCTTCCATTGTCCAGGTGTCCCTGCCCCACCGGCTGCCCCGACACAGGAGGTTCTTCCCTCTTGATGACCTGCCTCAAGTCTCAGGTAGAGGAAAGACAGACCTCGGTCCTCCTGAGGTTAATGTGCAGGCTCAAACCTTGTCATTTAAAAGGGAAACGGGTATGTCTGCGCATTATTTGATTCAAAACGACAGCTGAAGTCTAACTGTTAGCCCAGTGTAACCGCAGAAAACGAAGCCTGGCGTGGCCATTAAGTCTTTGCATCTCTCTGCTGCTGACAGTGGGGATTTTTTTGTTAAAGGGCAGAATTCTCACCACAAGTTCAAGGCATATTAGTCAGTGGCTGAGAGGTCAAATCAAAAGTGAAATCGGACCTTGGAAACTATGGTCCCGAGACATTCAGATATTGCGGGAGACGAGACGTGTCCTCTTAAAGGTGTGTGTGTGGTGTGTTACCTCTGGCGGTCCTAAGCTGACTTCGTTTTGTTTTGTTTTTTCCTCAGCTGACTTTGTAATGCCTGATCCTTCCTCCCAATCAAGGTGCATGATGGTTTGCAAATGACGAACCTGAGGCCTTGGAAGGCTCAGAAGGGCCACCCCAGTAAAAGAAATTAAAGAAACCAGAGTTGGTATTGGGTAAAATTTAGTGACATTAATAGAAAATTTAGTATTGGGTTTAAGGTTACTGTAATGTATAGTACACCATTATTTAGAAACTAGAGGCCAGTGCATGGGATTCATGCCCTGAGGGGGGGTGGGGGTCCCTCAGCCCAGCCTGCGCCCTCTCACAGTCTAGGAGTCCTGGGGGAAGGGGGGTGTCCGGCTGAAGGCCCACGGAGAGCTGCTGCGGAGGTTGGAGAGGCTCCTGCCACCGCCCCTGCACTCGCCAGCCATGAGCCCTGTGGGAACACACTGACCACCAGGGAGCAGCTCCTGTGTTAAGTGTCTGTCCCCTGGTGGTCAGTGCACATCATAGCAACCAGTCATTCTGCTGTTCAGTTGATTTGCATATTACCCTTTTATTATATAGGATGCCCAACTCCATTTCCCCCATACCAAATCTTTCACCTTGGATTAAAGTTGTAATCCAAGTTGTGATGGTGGTAATGCTAAGCGATGAGGATTAACTAATTAAAATGTAGTTAAAAGTTAATGTGCTGGGTAGTCATTCCTTCATCCAAACAATATCCATTCAGTGCCAGCTATATGTCAGAAATCATGCTGAGTTCTGGGATGCAATGAAGAATGAAGGCAGTCATGGACCTCAGGGAGTAGAAGGAAAAGAGAGTGATTATATAAAGAAATGCAAAGTGGTAAAAGTTATCAGTGCTATCAAAAGGGTAAGCTACTAGAGTAAGGATGTGTGACAAACAAGCTGAGACACAATGAATGTGAATAGGTACCTTGGTGGAGAGTGGATGGGGTAGGGGGAAGGAGGGTGTTTGTCTGGCAGTCATCCAGCTTGCCTTACATAACCCCACTCCTTCCTAGGAAAGGCAAAGGACTCTGAACGTTAACAACAGGCTGGGAAACAGACCCCAACTCAGTCCACAGACCCACCCCCGGCATGCCCACAATCTAAAGCACACAGATTCTCAAGTCAAACACTCTTGTTTAAGCCTCTATGAACAAGACAATGAAGATTATACAAATAAGAATAATGGCTCATCCCTGCCCTCCATAGTACCCAGTCTACTTTTGAAGATAAGACAAATGCATAAATAGCTTTTAAAAACATCTAGGAGGCTCAATGCAACGAGAGAAGGCATATTCTTTCATCCATTCAGCATTAATTTAGCTATTATTGTGGGAAACAAAAATGACTAAGATTCATTATTTGGGTCAAGAAAAATGGGGCTCACTACAAATGGCCAAAATCCAAGCCCCCAACAACACCAAATGTTAACGAGGATATGGAGCAACAGGAACTCGCATATATTGCTGGAGGGAATGCAAAATGGCACAGCCACTTTGGAAGACAGTTTCTAAAGTTTCAAAGACAGTTTATTACAAAATTAAACACGTTTTTACCCTAGGATCCAGCAATCATGCACCTTGGTATTTACCCAAAGGAGTTGAAAACTTCTATCCACACAAAACCTGCACATGATGTTTCATCATAATTGCCAACCAAAGGCATCCTGGAAGCAACTAAGATGTCTTTCAGTGGGCGAATGAACAGACAAACTGCTATATCCAGACAATGGACTAGTATTTGGCACTGAAAGAAATGAGCTATAAAGCCCTGAGAAGACATGGAGAAATGTCAAATACGTGTTACTAAGTGAGAGAAACCAATCCCGAAAGGCTACTTTTTTAGAAAGTCATACTGCATAATTCCAACAATATAACATTCTGGAAAAGGCAAAACTCTGAATATATAAAAATATCAGTGGTTGTGGGGGAGGCGGGGTGTGTAAATAGGCAGAGGATTTTTAAGGCAGTGAACACTCTGTGATATATTGATGGATACACGGCATATACTTTGTCCGAACCCACAAAATGTACAACAGAATTGAGTGATTGTGATGTGCCAATGTACATTCGTCCTTGGTGAGAAATGTACCTTTCTGATGAATAATATTAATAATGGGGAGGCCATGCCTATGTTAGGACAGAGGGTATGTGGGAAATCTCTGTACCTTCCTCTCAACCTTGTTGTACACCTAAAACTGCTTTTAAAAAATGTCTTTAAAAAAAGAAAGATAGGGTTTTCATTGGGTCTTCAGGGGAAGTAGAAATTGAATTATTGGGAAAGGGAAGAAATATAGCTCAGGGAGATGTAACAGAGGAAATAAAGTCAGAGAAAAGGGACAGAATTTCCAGGTTGGTTGTGGCTGAAGAATTGACAAAGTTGACCAATTCCTGCTCACCCTGAACCCCGGGCAGACAATAATGACTGACCTCCATTCAATTTTTCTCAGAGTTCAGGAATCTTTCCTTCCAGGCAGCCACTCCCAATAAGTCGAAATATGAAACTCGCTCGGCAAGATAGTGGCTCCATTCACAGAAAGAAGGGAGACAGGAAAGAGAGCTGAGCTTTGAGGGAAGTGGGAAGGTCCATTTAATCGGTTGGTAAGGATGTGTCTAGGAGCAAACTAGTAAAATTCAGCAAGACCTATTAATCTAGAAATTAGCCTCAGAATGGTGCTTCTAGATCAACATTCACTCTTTTTAATATACATATGTTTATTGATTACAGAGAGGGAGGGTGAGGGAGAGAGAGATAGAAACACCAATAATGAGAGAGAAGCATTGATTGGCTGCCTCCTGCATGCTCCCTGTTGGGGACAGAGCTCACAACCTGGGCATGTGCCCTTGACCGGAATCAAACCTGGGACCCCTCAGTCCGCAGGCCGAAGCTCTATCCACTGAGAAAACCGGTCAGGGCAACATTCATTCTTTTGAGCCTCTTTGCTACTTTGGATGGGTATGAATAGTTCTCCCTTGAAGATGCTACATAATTTTAGAGACCAGCTTGCAAACTGAGTGATTACAGAAGTCTGCTAATGGACTGGATCAGAGTTTTTTATTTATTTTTGAATATATTATATGCACACACACACACACACACACTCTCTGAGTGGCCAGATTATTATGACCACCTGACGTTTGTAGGCAAATTAGCCGTACACTGCACCATATGGGATATGGAAGCCGAAGGCCTGTTCAAACACCTTTGCTGTCTGCAATTACCAAGATAAAACATCTCCAATTTGCACAGGAACACAAGGATTGGACAGTCGAGCATTGGAAAAAAGTCATGTGGTCCAATGACTCACGTTTCCAGTTGCATCATGCAGATGGCAGAGTGAGAATTTGGCGGAAACAGCATGAAAGCATGCACCCCACATGCATGAGTGTAACCCTTCAAGCTGGTGTGGGCAGTGTTATGGTTTGGGGCATGTTTTCCTGGCATGATTTGGGCCCTTTAATTCGTGTGGAACAACGTCTGAATAGTACAGCATACTTAAGTATCGTTGCTGATCAGGTTCATCTATCATATTGATGGTGTATCCCAATGGAGATGGCTTCTTTCAACAAGACAATGCGCCATGCCATGGTGCTCGTATTGTGCAGGAGTGGTTTCAAGAACATGAGGAGACTTTCTTTACCTTGCTTGGGTGGCCCCTACAATCACCAGATCTCAATCTAATTGAGCATTTGTGGGATGAAGTTAAAAGAGCCATCAGGCAGCTGGTTCCACAACCATCAAATCTCACAGAACTGGACAGAGCTATTTATCAGGCATGGTGTCAGATTCCTTGCATCACCTTTCAACATCTCGTGGAGTCAATGCCAAAAAGAATGGCCGCAGTACTGAAGGCAAAAGTACTGCGGCCCAATGAAGTACTGATGGGTGGTCATAATAATCTGGCCACTCAGTGTGTGTGTATATATATATATTTTTTTAATTTCAGAGAGGAAGGGAGAGGGAGAGAAACATCAATGATGAGAATCATTGATTAGCTGCCTCTTGCATGCCCCCTACTGTTGATTGAGCCCACAACCAGGGCATGTGCCCTGACCAGAAATTGAACTGTGATCTCTTGGTTCATAGGTCAATGCTCAACCATTGAGCCACACCGTC